CAAAAGTGTCCTAGCCACCATTCACGATGACCTTCAGTACAACCATCTGGCACACATATTTCCGAGTCCTGATATAACAATACGTAGTCGAAGGTAGGGAAAACACCGTTCTAAATAGTCGATCAATCTGGAGGTTTTCTGGTGCATGGCTTGCGTTCATAAGTGTTGTGAATGCTCCCAGTCCCCGAGCATGGCACTCGTTAGAAGGATAACACGCTTCACACCAGTCAGTCCACCCTATCCCATTTTCACTAGTATATGCGAGCGAGTGCTCGATCTAATTCGCGTCCGGTGTTTATTCCTCACTAGGTAAGTCAAATGTGCCTTGTAGCTGCCGCGACCTGCTAACAGTCGCGGCTTAAAAGGTTGCCAGGTGATGGAAGTTACTATGTAGTTCTGCTCAGGTCTGGCGGTTAGATCGCAATGGCTCCACATCATGGACTTTATGGCACTCCCAGATAATCGGTTTCCCTCTTTCTGTCAGTTCTTGTACCATATACGTGGGTGGACAAGTTGGCCTTGCAGCGTCTACGTCCACCCTAGACTTCGGTCTTCTTGATCCTGCCTTGTCATCGAAACACGAGCAGTGAGGGAACACTGACATGAGGTAAGCATGTTGAAAGCTTGTTTCACCGTATACACATTAACGTGCAGGACGCGGCTGCGCCAATTTCACGGTGTGAGGAGGCATTTCGTCGCCTGTGGCTGTCGACGTACATCTTTCTCAGTCTCCTAGTGTGCAGACTCCCCTTATGCACTAAAATACTTCTTTGTGAGACTCCATACGTTATTAAATCAGTCCCGAAAACCCGGAAAGACTTCGTAAGGAGAAAGGAATTTGCATATGTTCCTAAAAAGGTTGCAAGTGGGCCAAAGTTGAAAACTCGTTCAAGAACAAAAAATTCAATATTACTAAATTCCAAGATCCCTGGGACCCGATTTACTATGACGTTACTATGGAAACGGCCATATAGCCAGAGTCCTAATTAAGAAGGCCAGCTGGCTTTGTTGCTACACAGGTGGAACTGATGCAAGACGAAAGAATTTACAACGGGTTTGCATTAAATTTCCATGGTAGCTGCCGGGTCAGTGCACGACAGCTCATGCTGCCCGTGAATTCACGTGTGCTACTGGAGGTGAATGTGCTGAACGTGCGAAAGGCAATTAGCATTCAGGTCAGTGATCAGCTTTCAGGGTCAAACAGTAAATGCCCTCGTTACACGCTTACCCAGCACCTACTAGTCACTGTGACACTGCTTTCAGCCCAGAAGTAGCTTACTGATTTCTCGCTCGCGCTCGTTCAACCCGACGGCAGCGTTGAGTGAGGGCAATCGACTTTGGCAGATTTGTTCTTTAGATGGAACACCGGGCCGAACTTAAACGAAGGCATCATGTTGTTGCATATGAAATGCATCATACAGTAGGTGGGCTAATTCATAAAAGGTCAACCGAAATTCCGAAATCCGTTTTCGTTGCGAAAAGATTAATTGAGTAGGGCTGTAAAACTAATCATCATGCAGCATAATTCTATAATAGTTAAGTTACCTCAGAATGCTGGCTTTCGAACGAACTTCTTTCCGACTGCATGCAAAAACCATACTCTGTAGAAAATGACTACTCAAGTAGCATGTATTTTTCCTATTGATTTTCGATGCCCTTGACAATCTAATTATATTTCATGGAAAGCATGCATAAAAATATTAATTCTTTCGCTCATTCGGTAGAAAATTATGTTTCCTTTCAATTTAATACTCGAAGGAAGGGCATAATTCGGTTTTAAAAAGTTTCTAGTTGTTAGATTTCCTAATACCGTGAAATGACCTTCATAAAACGTCATGTCTCTGCGTTTACCAATGTGGCATGTTAAGTTAACAATATGGCTCAAATCCACTGTTAAATTTTACGAACCCCATATGGTTCCTCTTAATACCGTAGAGAACTGCATGGTTTTCCATACGCGGAAAATATACGTCTTCTAGTTTGTAAACCCTGAATGTAAGTGTAACGACAGGTCGGATTCAAAATTATTCTGGAATTGGAATAGTTTTTGAAAATCGAATTATACCCTTTGTTTGCGTATAAAATTGGAAGAAGACGTCATTTTTTACTGAATGAGCATAAGAATATGCATTTTATGCATGTTTTCTATGAAGTATAATTGAATTTAAAAAACAAAAAAACATATCCAGGTATTTCGGTCGATGATTTATAGGTAACGGCGCAAACGCCACCCCATTTGGCGTCGGCAACACTTTCTCCAGGAGTAGCGTCTTCATCTTTTCCCCAACGCCTGGGCTGGGAGTTCATTAACTCACTTTCAGCGTATATTCATATGGTATTGACTGTCAATTAAGGAAAGCGAAATATTCGCGGTTATTCCGTTGATGTTGATGAAATCTTGCTTAAATTATCACCTCGGCTTTCGAAAAGAAGCTGAACAACTTTTCCTGATAATTTTTTTCTCTCAAATACATTAGTTTCTGCGGAATTTAAGAGGCCTACAGGACCACAATCTTTCGTCATTCGAGGGAGGGACGAGAGATGCTATTTCGGTGGCAATAACTCTACTACTTGCACCGTTCACCGGATTATTGTGAAAATAATTCCACGGTCCAGTTTGAAATAAACTTACGAAGCTAATAAATTGCGCTAAAGCAACATAAAACGGGCGGTCGTATACTTTTGCATTCTTGTGCATTGAGATAGTGCTGTTCAGAAACACTGGTTTGCTTATGTGGGAGGAATTACGCACCACATGAGTAGGCATTCCCGTGGATATAAACTAAAATCTGGTAGACAAATTTATATTCAGAACACGGAAAACTGGAGAAAACGCCTGCAAAATGCAGACATCCTTCAAAAACAACACCGAAAACTCCCGTTTTTTAGAATATAGAGGATTGAGATATCAAGAGAAGGTACATCAAGGTTGACACAAGAAACCCCTACAAAATTACTGACTTAACATTTGGAATTCTCGTGTTTGTAACTTACTCAACGAATAAAGGATCATAATTCTGGACCTTATTCTAAAGCTATCGAGGCAAAAGAATGGAAAATAACTGCAAAGAATTCACCGAAAACTAAACCAACGGTTCTCTTCCTTAAATTGTTCCTTATTAACTGTCATTCAACCGCTATCCCTCTCCACTTTCGTTTACTCATCCGTGTTGTTTTCTCATAGCTTTTTCCTCAAGTCGCGAACGAAGGAAATGTCCTTCTGGCAAATATACCTGTCTCCTGTGTAGTTTCCTCTGATTAAAGAGGCAAATATTTTCCGCGCCCAAGTTGCCAATATTTGAGACTCGAAAGAAAGCTCATCTTCTAGTCACTGATAAAAAAACCGGGGTGCGGGCATGTCTAGTTAGGGGGCACCCCGTGTAGGTGTGGTAGTTCGCACCATTCCAGCTTTGACTGCTCCGCAGGTCCCTCAACTAGCATCCAACTCTCATCAGTGGCTTCCCGAAGTTGGGCTCTGCCTATAGGCCACAGCCCGGAAACTGTTTTGAGCGGCAGGCTAAATCGGATGGGGGTATCCGGTGCTGTGCGTGTCTCCACACCCGGCAATTCTGCCCCCACTTCATTTAAAAAAAAGTCCTACGGTGAATGCGGCATGCAATCCCGCAGGCGGTCCAGGCTGACTCGGGTCGTTCTCCCATTAAACGAAGTACTGACCCATATTTGAGTTCGGCAGTCGTCTGGGATGTCCAAGAAGCCTTATTTAGGAGGAGCACTGCTTGCCCCCTCATGGGAAAAAAGGCTGGAAAAGGTATATCAAACAAGTGCCAGGGTCACGTCATCTGCACACAGAATGTGGCTCGTAGGTGCACCACTCACAGAAACAACATCATGGTATGCACCTCCCGGAAACAGGAACAGAAACGTCAGAAAATGCGAACGTACCCCGACACTACCTTCGTGGAGCCAACGAAAGCCTTCGACACGGTGAGTAATGGTAAACTCTGGAAAATTATGTAGGACGCCGGCTGTCCTAAGTGATTCACCCACATAATGTGCCGGCTTCACAACGGCATGATGGTGCGCGTCACGGACAACGGGGCAGTCGCAGAAGCATTCGCAGTGACTAATGGAGTGAAGCAAGGCTGCCTACTCGCTCCTACAGTCCTCGGCAACATGTTCACTATCATGCTGTTGGAAGTCTACTGTACTGGACGCCTGTGATCAGTATCGCCTGCCGATCCGACGGCCGACTTCTCGGCACTCTGCGAATGTGAGCATCACGTGGGCTTCAACAACCGCTGTACATGAACTCCTCTTGTAAGTACGACTGTGCACTCGGTGTACCAATGGAGGCAGCCGTGCAAAGCAGAATGGATCATTTCGCGTGCGACTGTGCTAAAGTAGGGATGAACATCAAAACATATAAAATGATGGTCATTCGCCACCCCGGGTCTTTGGCCGGCTACAAGCCTTCATGTGGAATCGCCATGGTATCTACCTTAACACCAAGCCGAAGATGCACGTAGGTGTCATCATGACAAGGCTGGCGTATGTGACGGAGACCTGGACAGTCCGCGAGAATCAAACAGCGAAACTCAATCACTCCCACCCCAGCTGCTTCCAAAGAATACTGAAGTTAGGAGGGAAAGACAGGATTCCAGACACAGAAGTTCTTGAAAGAACCGGAGTCTTAAGCAACCAAGCCCTGCCAAAGCAAATTCAGCTGCATTGGAGCAGCCAACCAGTTGGGATGGATGACGAGTAACTACCCAATCGACTCTTCTGCGCCGTTGTCGGGCAAAAAGTACACTACAAGAGAATCCTGAAGAACTCTCTCAAGCACTAATAAATCACCCAGGAGACCTGTACAGACTTCGCCCAGGATCGAACGGTATGGGGATGAGCTGTGAAAACAGGAGCAGCAATCTACGGGGTCAACCATCGCCAACACCCGACTAATTCCAACATGCCCGCGGCACCAGCAAATTTTTCGTTCACGGATCGGCCACGTCGGGTGACTCCAGACTCAATGCATAAACAATCCGACAACTTCTCCTGCTGCTTCTGCAAACGCCCTATCGTCGCTCTCGCACCAGCCACCATCGCACCCACGACAGTAACCACCACGATCGCCACCGGTGATCACACTCCTGATGCCCCGACGCCTCAGACGACGTCGTCGATTCCCACCACTTCTGTCACCCGTCTCAGAACACCCGCGACGAAGACGACCTCGACAACCACCTCTCCAACCCGCACAATCAGCGAGGACACTCCCAACGTCCCTCAACCACTACCGTCACCACCACCGACCCCACCTCCAGCAATGTAGTCTCTACCCCAGCCTCTCCTCATAGCAACCACACCGTCTCACGCATCGGACTAGTTGGTCATTTGAGAAGTTATCGCACTGAGACCAGCGCACCTGTGCCAGGAACCCCGGCACACGCTCACCGTATCTCCCTCCACCGTCCGCACCACCTACGCACATCTAGTCACCCCATGGACCTACTCGACCACATGCGCATTCGCGACAGCGGAATTCACAGCAATATCAACACGCCAAGAACACCCGACAACTCTCCCATCCCCAGTACTATTAACTCCTCCTCCAACATCGCGGCGGCCACTAGCGGCATAACCAGCGCAACGAACTCAGCGGCTCCTAACCTATCCTGCCCACATTGCCGCCGCACACGCACACCAAGCATCGGTCTGACCAGTCACTTGGAATCCATCGCACAAAGATTGGCGTCCCTGTACCTGGAGCACCAACATAACCCACCGCACCCGCATCAAATGCCCACACTGCCCAAACACATTCAGTCACCGCATGGGTCTACTCGGTCAAGTGAGCATCTATGAAATCGTGAGGTGAAACAGCGCAGGTCAAATCCTATATCTCCTGACCACCGCATACGCCATGCAGGAAGCCATCCCTCATCACGCACCACAAACACGGAATCGGCACCTCTCAAGAAGAGTGAGTCGCGCTTTTTTGTTCCTTCTTCATATAGCCTTTATGGCCCCCTAAAACATGTGCGATTCGAGCAGTCCACCCCTTTTTTGATGTCTCACTTTGTTGTTTGGGGTCCAGGCACGCACAGTTGAGCTCTCTAACTATGTCTGCCGCTGTGTCCAATTCCTGCATCAGACAACTGGTCGACTCAGACATTGGACTGGTGTCTGGATGGGGCGCCGACTTCTCATGCCCACACTGTCCACGCACATTCACCTCACGCATCGGCCTGGTCGATCACTTGCGAATCCATCGCACAGAGACTGGCGAATCAGTGCATGGAGCACCCACCTATACCCACCAAGCTCGTCTCAACTGCCCACACTGTCCTCGCACTTTCAGGCACCGCATGGGGCCTATTCGGCCACATGCGCATCCACGACGACCTGCGGTAGACAACCGCCGGCCACACCACACATTCACTCACTCCCTACCTCCTTCACCACCACCATCACCCCATCAGAAATCAACACTCACACACCTCATTCACCCAACTGCCACCTCCCACGCAAATGGGAAGTCCGCATCTCGACTCGGTCCCCATGCGGCTTCGGCTGCACGGGTGACTTGAGTCCGAGACTATCCCGACACGTCAAGCGTCGTGGATAGGAAGGTTGCTGATTGACGCCCGCTCTCGGTTCACGCAGTTCGTCGCGTTGTGTGTGTGTGTGTTGTGTGGAGTGGCGGACTGGTAGGCTGGGGACGGGCTGAGACAGCACCTTCCACGGCACTCTCACGCAAGTGAGAGACACGCCGTTCAACCCCCGTTGTGTGAAATCCTGGTGTTGTGTGTGTATGGGGGGCCAGGTCGTGCCGTGGCGCGCGCAGTCATGGTCAGTCGACCATGACAGCCACCGCGCCCATTCCCCACTCCAGTCTGCTGACCGGCTCGGACAGCGGCTGGGGTGTGGGAGTGGGAAAGGGAGAGTGAGGTCGACGACTCAGCGCACTTTCTCCTCACTATAAACAATCTGACGCGCTTGAAGCTATCACGGTGCGCTAAAAGCTGTGGCTTGGAAGGTTGCCAACTGACGGGGTATCTTGGACCTCCTCCTCGACGGGAGGCGGTCTGAGAGTCAGGCTGCAATGGCTCCTTTTTAATGTGGCCTTTATGGCACTCCCATCACAGTGTGGGGTCCGAGCCAGGCGTTGGCGGCACGCCCAGGTGCGGCTTCGGCCGTGCCAGCCTCCAAATCTCTGTTGTGTTGGTTGAAATCCTGGTTATTTGTTGTGTGGACCAGGGGGTGTGGTGGAACGCCAAGGTGAGGATCCGTCCGAGCCATCCACCTGCGGCCTCTCTCGTCTCCGGTCTTCTTGACTCTGTCTTGACACCGGGCTCGGACGAGGGAGGAGGAGAGAGTGTAGGTAGATGCTACGCAAGTCTACCGGCACTATAAACCCCTGCGTAAGTCACCGTCCCTGCTCCCATTGCTGCTGCAGCTGTGGGGCACACGGTGGACATCATCGAAACCGATGGTCGAACTGTCTGGATGGGGAAGAGAGCGTGAGGTTGACAGTCTCAACGCCTATTCCCAACTATAGACAATCTGACGCTTTTGAATATATCATGGTGCGTTTAAAGACATGCCCTGGAAGGCCAACAGCTGACGGGATAACTCGGTTCTCCCCTCAGAACGGAGAGTTAGAGAGCAGTACCTCCTTCTTAATATGGTCTTTGTAGAATTCCCACTGAGTTTGAATCCGGGCTGCCCCTCTGTTATATGAAATCCTGGTCCTTTGTGCACGATCCAGGGGGCATAGTGGCACGCCTTGGTACTGATCCACACCGCGCCAGCCGCTTGAACCCGATTATGCCTCCAGTCTTCTTGACTTTGTCATGACACTGGCCTCAGTTGGGTGGGGAGGAGGAACTGCGGGAGATGCAACGCGAGCTTGCTATTACTGTAGAATGATTTACGCGCAAGTGATCGCCCCTGTGCCCACCCTGCTGTGAGGCACATGGTGGACATCATCGCGATCCACGGTCAAACTGTGTGGTAATAAAACCTGAACATCATCCTTGTGACCGACATTCTGGCTTGTAGGCACAGTAATGTGCTCTGCATAATGTTCTGTCATGCATTTTTGAGAGCCCACTGCCACGCTTTTTGGGAGTTAACAACTACTAATTGGAATTGGTTATATTAACAACCCCTGTGGACCACTGCAACTTCAGATGTTTCCTCGACTGTTCCTTCCTCACTCTGTGCCCTTTTTATCAAACGCGCATTGGCAGCAACATTCATAATTCCAACATTAGAAACCCTTGCGTGTTCCTCTGTGGTCAGATGTTGTGACCCGCTGCCTGTCATTGCGGCTGACGGTGCGTAAGGGGTCACTGTTGGTCATGAGGGATGAAAGTCCGAGAAGAGCCCTTTTTGCTCACAGGACAGAATTATCTATGCGCTAAGCGGCCGAAATTCACAATAAGGACAAAAATTGACATCCAAGGAAAAATTAGCTGTGCTGCTATGCTTTTAGAGGCGGCTGGTAGTTTTATTTAAGTTTACGGATAATTAAATCTTGCTGGACAACTTAACCAGCATATCGGGCGGTCAACTTAGGCAGGACTTTTAAAGAATTTACAGAAGAACTCAACTCTGAGTCTATATCAAAGTACTGTAAACTCTCCTATAAAGGTGGAGGACAAAAGAATAAAAGAAAGAGAGACGAGTCAGAGAAAAGGGGAAGGAAGGACAAAGTGGAGTTAGGTAATGCCTCCTTTTTTGCCTTAGTCCATTCGTTACAGGCATGTGCCTACGTATGTCAGTAGGGAGACGGGCTGGGGTGTACGGCATTTCAAGGAGCGCACGCTGCACCTGTACAGTTGTTTTTTGGTTCTTCGGTGCGGTTGAATGACCGTTGCACAACCATACCCTGTCGAAGGTAACCTACCGCAGATGCACTGTTGGTGACTGTCACGCATAAAGAAGTAACCTAGGTGACATCGTTCAGCACAGGTAGAGTAAGTAGGACCACGGTCGTAGCAAGCCCTTGCGAACAATACTGTGGCGGCTCCAAATAAACGCATGGATGAACCCACTGGATACTTCTAAGTTGTCCCGCCCTGGCACCCAGGTCTCGCCTGTCGCACCAAGAAGTCATGCATATCACGGCGGCCACACCCCAGTAGACGTCCTGGGCTGGCGGGCCGGACCAGAGGAGGGTGTACAGCGTGCGCTTGTTGGACCGCTGGTAGTTCCTGTACTTATCTCCATCCTCCGCCTCCCATCCCGGCCTACTCCAAACATGTAGTCATACGCAGAAGACGATATGTAATCCTGCAGGCGGATATATGTATGTGGGGTCCAGACTGAAGTTCAAGTTCAGCCGCTCTACGGAGTCTTAAGTTGCTTGTCTCCGGTCTGGGGGCACTGGAGATCGATGTGTGCGCAAGTCAGTACAAGCGACCGATAAATGAATCTATGAGCTGCGCGACCTTGAGGCGTGAATTAGGTATCTGTATCGTCATTTTTTATCACTGGGCAAAAAGGCCAAACGGCAAGCCGTAAACTGCGCACTTGTCGTTAATCCACTAGCAACTTGGCGTTAAAGATAGCCTCAGACGACGTTAACCGTGGTCGTATAAGTACTTAGGAATCAGGAGTTAGTAAAATGCACACTAAACTCTAAATGACTACTGACTCAAACAAAAAACGACCATACGGAGATGATAACTTCAGCTGCCTGCAAACAGCGACTAACTGGGAAGTCACATAGGTTTCTTGCAAATAACGTTAAAAATTTTAGTACTGGCAATTGGGCCATCTAGCAAACAAGAATTCACAGACTTCCTTCCCGATACTTCACTACGAAGTTGGTTTATGAAGTCCGGGTAGGATTTACCAGACCCAGTCGAAATTTCATAGGCTTAAAGGTTTTTCAAAACGTCCATATGTTTTCCACCAAAGGTACTTTCACTGCATTCAAATGCACGCAACGGTTAATAAACTCAAGCCGGACGTACGATTTCCTGGTTCGATGAGAGCGCTCGCAGGAAATTTAGTAATTTTGCCAGATAACAGGTCATCATCAGTAATTTTTAGTTTCCAAATTTAAGGTCATCTCAATCCATCGACGATATGCTTATCGTCAGATGCCTTACTTGCTTATTTCTAGTGGTCGGCGAGCCCACGCATAAAAGCGTGGAGCAATGTTCTGCCGCAACCTCAGTAGGACACGGATTGCCGCAAACATTTGCTGTCCTCCTTGCCTATCATAACTGTCGAAGAAACGTGGTTAAGGCATGGCGTATAAAAAATAATTTTGGAAAGTGATGCCGGAAACTCATAGCAAATAATCAGGTTATATCCCATAGCCGGAGGCTGACACACACTGATTCCAGACCTGAACCACTCTGTGTACACCCTTTAACCGCAAAGTCCCTTCCACGGGGGTCGTTATCAGTCAGCGGTGATCGGGAATGCGCAATGTCGCGCGTGCCAGTGCACATTCACCGATATGCCCTGATTGCAGGATAGAGAATTTTGCGATTCCGTTTGGAACCCCGGGGATAGGGCCTCCACACAGGCATTGCAAACAGCAAGTAATCAATAATGGTGGCGTTACTGACACACCAAAGAAACACAGAACTTGGGATTCCCGGTAGGAATGCAACCCGCCCAAGGGCAGGCTGCATTCTGTGAAGAGTTACCAGATTTCTTACCCTTTCCTCGCCTCGTGACCTTACCGGTGCTTATCTGCTTGATTTGGAAGCAACGACAAACGTTCCAATAGATGTAGCAGAGAGGAGAGTCATTCTGACGAAGGTAAGTTTCTACTCCAGTCAAAACAGACAAATTTCGCTCGCAAATCTCGCAAAGCTTTGCATTATCCGACAGCCATC